CTTTAATTTACTAGAAAGTAATGTCGACCAAATAAGCCGCAAACATTGCGAGGTTGTTGCTATCGTCACAATGACCATAATGCTTACTCTAATTGAATATAATTCGATTTTCAGCTAGCATTGCCGGTTGCAACGGAAAAAAACTTCCAAATTCATCTACGCATTCAATTCCTGAAAATTTAAGCAGCAAATTGTCGCAAACCAAGCTTTATATAAAATTTTTTCCTTCTAAAGGACTATCAGTGTCTATATCCGCGTGGTTAGCAATGCGTACTGCTATTCTGATGGTCGCAGTTCCAGTCCTGGTTCGACCAACATCCAAAATTAATTTTTCTAATTGGGGTTGTCTCTCGGCAGGGAAGCAGGGAACGTCAAGCCCTCCGAATGTATTTCTGACATGAAATAAAGCTCCTCATAAAGATTCATTGTCCTTACGGTGGCGGCTTGGGCTCAACTGTAGGTACCTGCGGAAATCGCCTAATTATACGAATATGTACATACATATACGGGCTGACAGCAATGAATCATGTAGAATTTCATTAAGCTGCATTAGAGTAACTTTTGAATACAATAAATAGAACAGAAAGCAATATACCGTATAAGTGAAAAGATTCAAATGTAACTACCAAAATAAACAGCTGTTATATAAATTGATGGCTAATTTTGAATGAATCCCGTTTGGTGAAATCTCAGTAAATTTTTTTGGAAGATTAAAAATCTAATTTTAACAGCTAATTCTTAGTGGCTTTTCTCACCGAACAGAGTTTTTATGTTAGAATAAACGAGTGGAAAATTGCTATTCTAAGTCTTCTGAATTCCCAACAGTAGCCTATCACAGCGAGTCACAGAAATGTAAATATGTGTGAACGTATTCATTGATGGTCACCCTGCAAACAACGTGAGTACTCCATGCGCACGCGAAATACGGACTCTACGCGGACAATGGTGTAATCCACAACTTTTACATAAAATTTAGTGCAATTAACATTGCGATATCCTAAAGCAGGACCATATACTTTACCTGTGCATAACTTCAGAGTAATCCAGGGAGTGAGTACATACAGCAGTGGGTTACATTTTGGAGCAGATGCGAAAAATGACATTCGGACCAAATTTTAAGTTTCGAATACAAATTGCTTAAGGGGTAAAGCCGTGGGTTGAAAAATATACTCGTTTTTATTTTTAATTTTTTTGCAGGACATTTAATTGAAAAACAGCTACGCACTTCCAAAAAAAATGTATTTGAGATGCTGCCAACAGTTTGAAAAATGTGATTTTGAGAAAAACGCGTTTAAAGTTCTGAGTGGCTGCAGCAGAATAAAGAGTTCAGCTATTTGAAATTTTTGTTTCACCACCACCACCAAGTGCATATCATTTCTAGGTCCGAGAGGTATACTGTGCGAAAAAAACTGTGTTTCCAAAATCTTAAAGTGGCTTTACGCCCTAAGTCGAAACATATACACATACATACCAACATCATAAATTCAAACTATTCTTTTATAGCTAATAAATATGTTACATATTTAAATTTGCGCATTTATTTTATTTGCATTGGAATATATAATATTGTATTATCTCAAACCTATGCACGTCCTCTATGTACCATCAGAAACGAAATAAGTTTCAATTTCATACATTTACAGGCCTATTCTCACTGTTACCGGTAAAGTAAATTTTGTTACTTTTATTTAACACCCGAAATTGAATTTGGTATTCTGGCAAACTGGTTACAATGTTTGGAAAAAATCTTGCAGCACTGCTTTTTATGTCCATGTCAAATTACATTTGCCAGTTGATAAAGTAAAAAGAAAAATATTCGCATCGAAATTGAAGACGGTGCACAAAAAAATTAAAAAGTTTTATTAATTTGTTTATTACATCATAAATATTTAAACTTAATTACGGAAAATATTCCGGGACAATATTTTTTGTCTCGAAAACTTCTTCAAATACGGTCTTTTGCACTTTTTTCTTCATCTTCAAAAAATTCCAGGCCTAAAACATGCCTACCCATTTTGGTTTTTTATTTTTTCCCAAACTTACAACACAAAATCAAACAGCAAATATTTTTGTTACCTCCTATTTCGCTGGTAACAAAATTAACAGGGTGACAGTGAACGTATGGTAAATTTTAATACCAAAGTACTGTACACCAGAAAAACTCTTATTGCACACTTCGTTTAGTAATTGTGGTCGTTAAAAAACGAGCAATCATCGGCTAACAACGGCTGGTAGCGAACCAATAATACACTACAGAGGACTACTCCAATGGACCATATGTCCCAAAATTGTTTGCAGGGCTTGTGTTGTCATTTACATACATACATACATACATAAATGAAATGGCTTCTAATTATCCTGCTTTTCTCTGCACAAGTTCATTTACTCACACTGATAGCCTCCATTTGAGCTTGTATGTGTGGGTTGTTGAGATTATGTTGCGGCCGGAAGAGTTCCCGCACAAGTGAATTCCTGAGTTGATAGCCTTAGCTACGAAGAAGAAATAGAAGAAGAAGCAATTACAGCTGGACAGAGTGCCAATGGGAGGCCCGGTGTTTCACCGCGCCAGCCGCCGTGTGTTCTCTTGCGTTGCGGTGGAGTGCCACTAGTTATGAAATGTTATAAATTGCAAGGATTAACGAGTTTTGAATTGGATTAATGCGTCTCTCCTGCTTTTCTTTAACACTCAGGAGATTTACTCATTTTAATTGCGCAAAGGCAGCTGCAAACGACTCAACAACTACTTGGAACTACTTGGTGCTTGTGCAATATTTAGTAGAAATGTTCTAATGAGTTTAAGGGCCACTCAACCATTCAGCCACCATCTGTGATGTCCGTGCGGTAGCTGCATTATCATCACTTGCTCCTTTTTTTCATTTTTCCCTTAATCTTACATTTTTTAATCACTTGGCGTATTTGGGATTTACGTTGCTAGTAAAAGCCTTTGAGATTGATTGTACTCAATAGCAGCTGAATTGGAATTATAGTTGACGATGCTCCTTTCTTGTCAGCAATTCATTAATGCGTTATGAATACTTTTGTAGTGAAGGCATTACGTTTTTGCTGCATTTCGTAAATTTTATGGAAATTTCATTAAGGCAATAAAATGTTTAAATTACGCGTAATTTATGTCGATAATAGAAAGAACGTGCAATGACAAGGATGAGCACTCCTCCGACATTGCCTTATTACGTTGTTTTACAAGAATTATTAAATTTTTTTGTAAGACAATGCTTTATTCTTATACAAAAAATTATGATGAACGTTTTTTATTATTGGATGAGTGCATAAGTTCGTGCCCGATTCCGCACAGTAAAGAAATGGTTCGCGAAATTTCCTTCTGGAAATTTTAACCTCGAGTGGACGGCCTTCTGAGCTTGATGTTTTTCTAATTGGGGTTGTCTCTCGGCAGGGAAGCACTTTAGTTGCGAATAACTCACGTATTTCGGCAGAAGAGGTTGCCAGTGAATTGAACGTCAACAAATCAACTGCGTTTCGTCGTTTAAAAAAGGTTGGGTACACTTTGAAGCTCGATACATGGGTGCCACATCAGTTGAGTGAAAAAAACAAAGTGGACCGTATGTCAACAGCAATTTCTTTGCTTCGACGGATCGAAAACGAACCTTTTTTAGATCGGCTCGTGACTGGTGATGAAAAATGGATCCTGTACAACAATGTTCAACGCAAAAAAACATGGAAACAGGCACACGAAGGGGCGGAACCGATGTCGACAGGTGGATTGCATCCGATGAAGGCACTGCTGTGCATTTGGTGGGATATCCGAGGCGTGATCTATTTTGATCTCTTGTCAGCTGGAGAAACGATCACTGCCAACAAGTATTGTCAGTAATTGGTCGATTTGAAGAAAGCAATTGATGAAAAACGTCCGACTTTGGCCAATCGCAAAGGAGTTCTTTTCCATCATGCCACATGTTGCAAAACCGACCCTGGCCAAACTGAAAGAGATGAATTGGGAAATCATGCCGCATCTCCCATATTCACCCGACATTGCACCTTCTGATTATCATTTGTTTCGATCGCTGCAGAACAATTTGAATGGAAAAAAATTTAAAAATGTGGAAGACGTGAAAAACCACCTTGACACCTTTTTCAACGAGAAACCGCGCGATTTCTATGAATCAGGCATCCGTAAATTGGTTGAACGTTGGGAGTGGATTGCCGAACATGATGGCGAATACATAATTGATTAATAAAAGCGCTTTCTTCAAAAAATTTCATTTTTAGTTTGCACTTGAAATCGGGCACGAACTTATGCACTCATCAATAATGGCTTTTTCAAAAATCGGATTGTATTCGAAACAAAAAAGTATTTTAGAATGTAATTTTAGTATATTTTTCATAGTAGTAGGTTACTTCCCACTCTTTATCGAGCTTGGAGTATCATTGCGATATTTTTATATTACTCTCTGGTCTGATTGTAAGTAGTATACATGAATTTTCCACGAGTTATGAGTTTGGCCAATTGTCGTCCCGTAGATACATAAGCGAATGGCAGAAATATACTAAAAGTCGGCGTAGTTGAGCACGTGAAAATTGGAGTGTAATTTGTAGAAAAACCCACAAAATAACGCCTCGCACATGTATTGTACATACGAGTACCCATGTACCAAGGTTTATAGAATATAAGGTTACGGCAAGAGCGAAAACATATGTTTAATGACGAAGTTGGTTCAATTTTGTGGGTTGCCGGAGACATTAAAAATTTTTTATATTGCGTCTATAAAACATTTTAATATTTTGACTATAAAATTCTAAAGCCTTGCATGAAAAGTTTTAAAATTAATAATAATCACCGTTAAAACGTTCGGAATAGTTTTATGTATTTTAGTTTTCAAAACTTTTTAAATTATTTAAATTATTATTATTTTATATGAAAAAATTCTATAGCTAACAACTTTTACTTTTGGTTTCATGTAATACGAATGGCATGAGTACATATTGTCAAAAACGTTTCAAATTTTCAAAATTCGAAGCAAATGGGTAATAATAGAAATCGATTTACGCATAATTTCTTTATGTGCTAAAAAGTTTTTGGGAAATGGGAAATTAGTGAAAAATTCGTGTTTAAAAAATCGCAGCGATAAAAAGTATCATATACAGTGGGCTATAGTGGACTAAAATTTAAGAAAAAAATGTGCAAGTGATAATAATAATATAATCTAATGATAAAATTTTTAAAGCTGAAAACTTGAAGTTTTGGTGTTAATAAAACGTGAGTTCATAGGATCGTTAAATATATCATCTACATATGTATATGATAGAAAGTAGTATTGCTTGCATCCATATTTATAAAAATGTATTAAAAAAATAATATTTATGTATTAACGCCACTGCAGCAGGTCCGTTGTTTAAAGCTTTTATTCACATTTGGTGGCCCTTGATGAGCAAAGGCTACAAAGGCTTGCACAATATTTTTTTGTAATTTTTTTAGTCTGAAAGATCGCCAAATCTATGACTGCGGTGGTAGGTAACAAAATAAAAATATGGTTTCATTTGTTTTTCCGGTTGTGTAAAAAAATGTTTACTGTTTCTCTGGTGTTATGTTCACATATATACATTTTTTTTAAGAAAATAATTTTTTTTATGATGTAAGCATCAAGTCTCGCCCACTGTATATATGAGGAAGTTGGTTCGGTGACGTCAACGGTTGTCGTAACCTTGTATTCTATAAAACTTACCCATGTACATATAATATATTGTACATATGTATGTATACATATTATATAAAGATTTGAGAATACAAACACTTTTTTTTCGAAGTGAATAGATAGGGAGCAATTACTTTACAATCCAGATGCGGGTGACTTTATTGCCACTACTCTGAACAAAAGCTATCTTTACCGACGGAATAAAATCAATCTACTTTTCATAAAACTAAAGTGCGATATTTGATGCTTGATTACATCTAACAAGTAAGACTACACAAGTATTTTTTATCATTTTAGTTCGTGGCCGCGGTAGCCAAGTGGTTAGCATTGCGTACTAACATTCGGAAATCTCGGGTTCAAATCCCCGTGCGACCAACATCCAAAAGTTATAGAAAATTAATTTAAATAATAAATTAAGCTAAATTCTCTAATTAAGGTTGTCCCCCAGCAGGGAAAGTCCACCCCTCCGAGTGTATTGCTGATATGAAATAAAAGCTCCTCATTAAAAAATCTATCAGCCAATCGTGCAAAATTTTGGTTTCGTCTATTGCGTTCCGCTAATTTTAATATAAAACAAGCTTCACGGTGTGGATGGTCTATTGTTGAAAAAGTTGATAAAATAATGGAAATCGTGGAGTCTGACCGCCAAGCGAGCCTTGATTTTCCATTGATTGATTGATTTCACATTGCACAAGAAATAATTTGGAAGCACCTGAAAGGTATTGAATATACAAAGAATCGCGACGTATGGGTACCACTTGGGTTGACGAGAACTTCTATCTGCTGCTAAATCTCAATATTCTGTATCGGATGGTAACTGGTGATAAAAAGTGTATCACTTACAGCGACGTAAAAAGAAGGCCGTCGTGGTAGAACGGCAGTGAGCCCGCACAAATACGCATAAATTGGCAAGGCATAATCAACCATGAATTGCTCTCCTACTGCTGAACTCTTGGTTCGGATCAGAAGCGCCCAGTTTTGGCTAGCATGAAGGGAATTGCGTTGCATTAGGATAACGCCAGACCACACATATAAATAATGACTCGCCAGTAGCTCCGAGAGGTAAGTTGGGAGGTTCTTATGCATCCACTTTATAGTCTGAACCTCGATCTAAGTTCCTTTCTTTGGAAAACGATTTGACTGGTGGAACATCGGCTTAACAGAAACCTGTGAAAATTATTTTTTATATATCTTTTACCAATAGAGGCAAGGATTTCTGTGAGGGAGTCTTAATGACATTACTTTAAAATGGGGAAAAGTTTTCGAGCAAAACGTTGCAAATTTGTCATATATACTATTGTCGAATAATTTTAACTACGGTAAATGAAGACTCCAATTTAATGTAAAACTAATGGATTACTGGTTACTCGAGCTAATATACTTGAATATCAAGTCTTATCCACTGTAAATATGACGAAGTTGGTAGCCTTGTATTACATAAACCTTGCTCGTATACCCAGGCGAATTCTCACACGGTAGTAGCAAGAATAGAAAAACAAAAATCTCATGTATTTTGATTGTGTAATCATAATTTCGAAAAGTCAAAAACGATAATCGTTCAATGTTTTTTGTTTATGTAAACGATCGTTCAAAATGTCAAAACCTATTTCTCATGTCTTTTGTTTGTGTAATTTGTTGAAATGGGAGGAAGAACAAGCAATCATATGATCTGACAACTTCACTTTCTATAAATTCGCATTGTTCGTATAGCAATAAAGATAACCTTGGCATAAAAGTGCGACCGAATGAGAATGCAAGAAAAGAAATACAAAACTATAATGCTGGACAGGCTCAATGCTTAGCCGCACAGTCTGCGCCGATGTAGCGAGTCCCAATTAACCAATCCGTTGCATCCTTTAATTCAAGCAGGCTTAATTTAGTTGTTTCTTCCCTAATGTTCATTTAACTGCAATAGCAAGTATTTTTGGCCTGCTGTTCGTCACATTCCTTTCTTGCTGGTGTTTTTGTTACTTTCACGTCGAAAAGAAGTTTGTGGCACACCTTTTTTCGATGCGTCGATTTGAGGTGTGCCTCGCGGCTCCTGATGTCGTACATCGCATTTTTCTATTCTCCTTTCGGTCTTTAACACTTCCACATCAACGCTTCGACTTCGTGTTTTTCGCTAGAGGAACGACGTTTTTTTTATCTTGACTTAAATTTTAATGCCCCCAGCGAACGTTGTAAACGCTTTCGTCGCTCTCCTCATCCTTTGCGCCAACTTATTCAGCCAATTTCACTGCCAAACACATATACACGTATGCAATCAACAACATCGTAGTTTTGCCTCAAGCTGTCGGTGTTGGGCTACCGAGCTTTCCGCTACACAAGCAATTTGGAGTGCCGAGTGTGGGCGGCGGGCTGGCCTATGACGTTATATGTGCACATAGAATGGTTAGCTCCCATTTGCTCCCGAGCAACAAGAACAACTATGTGCGTGTGTATATGTATAATTTGAAACGTGAATGTGATAGCAAAATTCGAAATTAAAAATGAAAAGAAAAATCAATATCAATGCAATTGCGTTAAGGGAGGGGAAATTGTCGGATATGAATGCGGTATCTGTGGGCAATGGCATTGATGGTGGTGACTGGTGAAAGGAAATCAAAATGAGCGGACAGGCAGCAGAAATTAATAAAATAAAATGCGGTTCGAGTTTTCTTTCGCCACCATGGCAAAGGATAAGACGAAGTTTTAAAAATATTACTCAACAAAATCTCCTTTGTTATTAATTTCATGTTATTTAAGTTAAAGAATAAACCACACAAACCGCTATTTACATATTTAAAACGTTGGTTCAATGTTTGTGAAAACAAAAACCGCAAAGAATGTAGGCAGTCAAATCGTAAACAGCGCGCAGTGATTTTCTTCAGCAAAACCAGAATCTGATCGATATTTTCTGTTTAAATCTCTTTTTTCACAATATTTCAGCGGCTGTAATAGTCGAGTGGTTAGCCGTCCGTACTACCATGCGGAAGATACTGGGTTCAAGTCCCCTCAATCATCCAAAATTCAAGAAAATGAATATAAATAAAAGAACTAAGGCAATCGCTCCTTATCAGGGAAAGTTAATTATTCAGAATGTATTTCTGACATGAAATAAAATTTTGCTCAGCCATTCATCAGCCGTTCGAAGAGATTTCATTAACACCTCGAGTGTGCTCAATGTACAGGCCAGATCTCAAGATCTTCAAATTTTATTTTGTATTAAATTAGTCTATTGTATTTACCAAATATTAAAATTTATTATTTTAATAGCCATTTGTGTAATGTTTTTTTAACCTTTAAGGCTGGAAATTCTATTAACTTTTGACGGGAGGAACGCAGTTCTGGCACCATTTCGATACATCAAATAGAAAACTTTGATTTATTACTTCATAGAAAACATAACTTGATCTGATGTTATCAATAAAACCTGAGAAACACCAAAGCGAGCTATATACGATCCTTTGATCAATATGAATGTTAAATATATTATATACTTGCACAAAGAAACCGAGTTGTGAAATAAGAAATGGCGCCGATTAACCACATGAGCTTTCCAGTAAGAAATCACTTGTCTTTGAGAGGGAATCCAACAAACTCATCCGAAGTCAAATTCATGGATATTGAATTTCAAAGCCTTTCAAGTGCAACCTGCAGCTTTTCCTTTTTATAAGTTTTTCTTGTCGTTTTTTTCGTATGATAAAAATTTAACAAAGATCTTTCCAAAGGCACCTAGGTTCATAAAAAGCGTATAATATCAGTATAATACAAAATTACGGAAATTGAAAGGCTTCTAAATATATCTTTTCTTTGAGCAAATAAAATGCGTTTTTGTTGAAATAGACTTTCTTACAAATTTGACTTTTCAGGGCTTCATCATAGCAAAATGTTTGGTAACTGCACAAAAATGATATAATAATGCCGTAGATACTGTTATGTGATATTTTTTTTTGCTGTATTTGGTTACGTACATTTTTATATCCCAAAAATAAATTTAGAACACTTTAGATTTTTGTTAAGCCCCAAAGCTCTGATTCTTTTGTGCTTTGGAAACATCTTTTGCATTAAACTAAATTTTAAACTAATGTCAGCTTTATTTGCTTCGGTTATCAATGTATTGTTCCTGTTTCTATTGTATTGTGTACATATTAGCATCCTGAAAAGTCTACCTTGAAATGCGGCACCGTGTCCTATACACTATTGGTGGCTTCAGTGGAGCCGCTCCCGCTTTGTTCGGTTTAAGGTTCCGTCTAATTGCAACTTGCACCAGAGGAGCGGCTGTGAGCGGGCGAAGTTCTTGAAGAAAGCGGCTCGATGAATAAATGTGTAAAAATTTAAACTTACTCGCTTCTCCAGATTCTGCGTTGGGAACTAGATCCAAGAAAAAAATTTATAGCACCTCGGATGAGATACCCCTTTTTTTTTTGATGAAGGATAGGTTCTTGTGGCATTTACTACAGTGGCCATATAAAGGCGCGCAAATTTGGTGTCAGATTTGTTGTGGCTTAGAGACTCCGTAGGCGAGTACTGGCATTCACCCCGGTGGATGAACGCCTCAATTCAAATCAAAGCACGACGGAAGAGAAAGACGATTTGGCCAAAGTTACCTTTTATGTGCGCCCAGAGTGTTACGAACGCTGCCCCCGACACGATGTGCAAATCGTGCTTGGCGGTTTTAATGCCAGGATTGTCAAAGAAGGTATCTTTGGTAAGACTGTCTTAAAATACTTTAAATACAGCCTTCGCAACGAAACATTCCCTAAAGGGTTGAGGCTGATAAACTTCGCCGGGGTCCGAAATAGGGTTGTCTCTTGTGCTAGATTCCAGCACAAAGAAGTACATCAAGTCAACCACTGACCAGATATTCACCATGAGCCAAATCTTGGAAAAGAGCCGTAAAAAGAGGAATAGGTCTTCTAGTGAACGGGGGTAAGACGAAATGCCTCCTGTCATCAAACAAAGTGTCATCACATTCGCGACTTGGCTCCCACGTCACTGTTGACAGCCATAACCTTGAGTTGTAGATAACTTCGTCTATCATTATTATTGATGGTGATACTGGTCGCTCATCGTTCCCATCCTGCTATATTGGGCAGAGACAGATGACAACATCTAAAGAGTCGATGTTAGGAGTTTTCGAGAGATTTATGGTCCTTTACGAGTTGGGAACAGCGAATACCGCAGGCTATGGAATAATGGATGGATAAAAATAATCCAGCTTTGAAAGTTTCCGATGCCGCCGGTGAAATAAGAGGAAGGGGAAGACCTCCGTTTGAAGTACCAGTTTAAGAAGGACGTCGCTGAGCTTAGTATATCCAATTGACGCAAAACAGCGAATAGCAATATTTTGTAAAAAAATATAATATGTGGTCCCGTTCGGTTGAGTTTTTGTAAGTATCTTCATGTCTATATGGTATTTTTAACCATACACATAAATCGAAGTAGCACATTTAGTTGCTCGATATAGATTTGATTAGATATCGATTGAAATTTAGGCTTACTACAGAGAATTTAATCACGTTTTCCTGGATTACTTTTTGTAGTGCAAAAGCGACTTATCTCTGATTATGTTTGAGGCGCCAAACTTTGAATGCTCATACATACATATATATATTATATATATTATATAATTATGGAGGGACCTACAGTTTATACTAAGCCTTCTCCGAGCGGTTGAAGATTTTTTAATGAGGAGCTTTTATTTCATATCAAAAATACACTCGGAGGGGTTGACATTCCCTGCCGAAGGGGCAACCGCAATTAGAAAATTTAACTGAATTTTTTATTTAAATTAATTTTCTATAACTTTTGGATGCTGGTCGAACCAGGATTCGAACCCTTGCTATGTTAACCACTCGGCTACCGCCACATTACATATACGTATGTACATATATACATACATATATTGCTAAGTCAATAATATAATGGTAATTAATTGTAAAATGTAAGTTGAACAAAAACATGAAGCCACAATAACGTGTGACTGGGGTCTTCAAGTAAATAACAGGGCAACAAAATATTTAACTTACTGTGGACCAGCTATTTTAGGTCTCTGTAATTTATAGAGAATAATTTGAATAAATTTTTTAAGAAAAATATACAAAATTTTTGAAACTGTTTTCCTAGTGTACCGACGTCTTCGACATGGTATAGCCTCCCACATTTTCACTCTGGTCAGCCAATTTATTGTCAAACTCGCACAATATAAAACAATAATACAATAATACACACATATATTGTGTATGAGAAAAGCACATAAAACCATTTATACAACTGAATAAAACTTAAAGTGTGATATTCTCAAAGTGCTTTTTCAGTGCGGGTGCCGGTGGTAGATAAAGCATATAAAGCATTAGCATAAATGGGGCGAGGGGTATAAGTATATTTGGCGGCTTGCGAAAGTTTATAAATTCAACAACAGAAAATTTGAGTGACAGAGGGTGTTTCATTGAATGGCGTAGGAGCGAGTCAGGCAACAACCAACCGACCAGCAGGTCATTCCTGCTGACGATGACGAAGCAATCAAGTAAAATCAACTGCCACAATCATCAACACAAAAGCAATAAAAGTAAAGAAAGGAAGTTCACAGCGAATGTGAGTGCACGTATACATATATACATACATATACTTGTATAAATTTACGAAGTTGGACTTTAAGTTATTTTTGTGTACATATTTACAATATTGTAATACACCTGGTCAATTCAATAGGAGCAGAATTTCTATATAGCTGAAACCAACGACTGAAATATTGGAATCTATGGTTTGGATGCGTAACCCCAGCTAATCGATATGGTGCAATGAAGAGGAACATTGTAGCCGTTGACTCTGCATACGTCACAGGCGCCGTATATATCATGTAGGCCATCGTTTGCGCTATTCTCCACTACCTATCTCCTGAGAACTATAAATCTTCCGAAAAACCTCTCTTCCGAAAAGCCTTAATGCGGATTGACCCCATGAGCGGCTTACGAAGCTTTGTTCTTGATGCTGGTCTGTGGATAGACGAAACTGCTAAGTCTGCAAAATTATACCTGTCAATATTTACTCGGAAGTCAAGTCTCCAAGGCTCTAATTGTTTCTTTGATATGGCATTTCGTTTTGTTTTCGTTCGCTTCCTTGCCTTATCTGTAGATAGCGCGTTAAGCACGGCTGTCGTAAGAAGCGACTAAAATCCAACAGTTCCCGTGACAGTCGGGTCTTTATACCCGAACGACCCGGATTTTTATCTGGTCAAAGGCTGTCACAACAGCAACAACAACGAATAGTAGTTATAGCTCTGCGCTTTGATATAGCACCATTAATCGGATGTAGAATTACCCAGTTAGTTGTTTGGATTAGCTATATTCTATGCCACCTCTAATTTAAACTCTATCCCATGATAGTGGTCGTACGAGTAATTGCTTACTACAGACCCATTTAAGTTTTTGGCAAACCATTACTTTATCACCGCTTTTGTGATCTAAGCCTATTCAGCTAAAATGCTTTTTAATTATTGCACACGTGACCAAAAAACTTACGCTCATGGTTCACTACAAAAGTGTTCTAAGTAATGCTTCTCAGTAATATATTTCGACTTTTCGTTTTGTTCTTTAAAATGATACTTTTGCTTGTTTTTTACAATTTTCTAGAAAAGTTCTAAGGCTTAAATTAGTAGTCTTTCAATATAGTGCTCCTCTAAAAACCTGCAATCACTTGCTAAATATTTAACGATGAGAGAAGAAGATCAATGAAAACATACATTGAGAAAATATACATCCAACATAAAATTCTCCCATTCCTTATGAAATCCAGTACATCATTGCTGCTGAAACCTATTGGGAAGCGCATCACGTTAAGGATGTGCAACAACAGCGCTTTTTAGTAGAGCAGTGTAAGTGTAAGGACTTCTGCCTAATGACATTCTTTGATCAAAATCATCGGTGGTGTAATGAGATTGGCAATTCGTTCTTCAATATTCGACGAACTGGCGGTCTGATTCTTGGTAAACAAAAGTTTTGCTGGGTATATGTTGATAATATAATATGTATGTATGTATATATGGACATTTTACGGTTTGCTTATTTCTTTGTTTTATTCTCGTTTTTATTATGTATCTGTAATTTCACTAGTTTTTGTTTTTCTTTTCTCGCTCAATGAGTGAAATTCCAAAAATAACAACAACAATTACAATACCACAGCGCGAAGGAACCAAATATTGGTGCGCTGGTGTTTTGACGGTGCACCGAAATTGATTTTCTCACTCTCCACCGTCTCAAAACAGATATTGTACTTACTCGTATAGAAAGCTAATGTCCACTGGCCATCATACCCGCGCGGTGGTGGCAAAAAGAATTCTTTTAGCATGGTTTATGTACACGTATGTATAGGTAAGTGAGTAACGGGTAGCTCTTATGTTGTTTGCTGTTAAGTTTTTGATTCTTTTTCACAGTGAGAATTTTTGCAAGCAATATGCCTCAATTTCCTATCGAAATTTATTTTTTTTTCACAATAATTCATCAATAATCTTCGGTGAAAACACTGAAATCCTTTGACAGCAATTTCAAGAGAAACAAAAATGACGGAAATTTAGTCGCGATAATCAAATTGCAGATAAATAAGTACATCCATGCACTGGAATTTTGAAATCTGCGATTATATGAAATTAATAAAGCGTGGTCACACGCCGAAATTGAAAGTTTCTGACAGTAAAATGCATGAAGGAAATAAAATTTTCGTGAAAATTGCTCCAATTGAGTCCAAAATTACACTACGAACACTTTTCCGACAGTTTGCTGAAAATATGTTGGGTGTGGTGAATAATATTACTCGTCTGGCAGGATCGGTTAGTACGGTTCCTGCCAACAGGCGACCAAAGAGGAGATGTGGTGATCGCCGAAACTAGCACTCCGACTACTCTACAATTTTTCTATTACTTCGTTTAAGATTCGCATTAAGCCGAGAAGCATAAACACCAAATGTTCTACTCGAGGTGAATTCGGATTGGAGTTGGAGTCTGCTAAGCTCAACTTTTCTTAATCTTGGTAAAATTTGAGGTAAATAAGAGTTTCAGCGCTTCATTAGCTTGTGCAAGCCAAGTGTTCATAAGCTCAACTTGCCACTCCGTGTAAAATTGCAAGTGAAATGGAAATGTGTGCAACACATCTAAAATCTAAATAAAAATTTGAAATTAAAAATGACAAGCTAATTTTACTTATTCTTTAAAAATTTATTTCAATTCAAATTCTCATAAAAGTGAACAAAAGATCCCGGAGAAGCAGTTTGTAATACACATGGATGTGTTTTATCAATTGATTTCGAAGATAATGGAACCTCTATATCTTGTTTTCGCAAAACCTGAGTCAATATGGATTTTTTTTCGTGATTTTTCGCTCTCCACTCACCATTGTGATACGTTTTTAACTAAACTTGCTCTACTATTGTTCGAACTTTGCATAAAACTGATCGAATACTTACTAATTTTCATATTTTCAATATTTTCGTTCAATGTTTCAATAAAAACTTCATTCTCAAAAATTGCCTCTGAATTTTTCACCTTTAAAATATTTTTCATCTCTTCATTAAGAAGCTACTTTTTGTATCGCTTTAAATACAAAATCAACAACACGTTAATATATTGTTTAATTAATTAAAAAAAACATTTTAAAGCTAATTTTTTACCACGCTTCGCTGTTGTGCCTCAACCGACCAAGACAATGCTAAAATGCATCAATTTGGAGAGTAAAACCAAAGTCTTGCATTCCATTGTTTAGTATCGACATGTAGTCATTCTGAGAAGAAATCATCGAAAACAAAAGCGACCGCAACGACCACGCATTACGAATTACTTCATCATATTACCAAATTCATCGGTGACAAAATTTTGTACAGGGTAGCCCTTAAACTGACTTCTATCAAATAAACGAATTTCAAAATCATCATCATTACAAGTTGCACTTTTAAGCTCTGAAGTTGAAAAAGTAATTTATGCACCCACCTCATGGTCCGCACCTGGCACCAAGTGATTACTACCATCTTTTCCTGCGCTTAATAGTGAGAATGGTGAGAAGTTGGCTTCAAGGGAAGCCTGTGAAAATTGGTTCTCCGAGTTTTCTGCCAATAGGGACGCTACCTTCTACGAGAGGAATATAATGAAGTTGGCATCTCGTTGGCTTTTACGAACAAAACGGCGCATATTTGACTTAAATCGGACGAATGTAGACAAAGTTATCAAATTTTGAAAAATCAATAAAAAACCGAACGGATTTCTTAATTGACCTAATATCTATTCTTGTATATTTTTTTGTATTGTAATGAACAAAGATGTGGCTCTCATTCGACTTGAACCCCAAGGGATAGTGTGCCCCAAGTTTTCTCAGCTACTTTTAAGTTATCTGATGTACGAGACATAGTAAATACAATATAAGGAATTCAACCTGGATAATCCGCAAATGTTAATCCAGATTGCACAGGTAATGTAATTGGATTTAAAAAGAAACAACTTCGGAAACCTCCTTGATGTTTTTTTTTTTTTACACATCAAAGATATTTATTTACTGAATATGCTTAATTTAAGCCTAACAACTCATCGGATATGGCGGAGCGACTATAATGAATTTCGAATGGCATTTTCTTGCTTGAATAAAGCTAAAAGTCACTGTCAAAGACGAATCGCTGCACGTTTAATCCTAGATCGACGTTCATAAAGGCGCCTTTAAAAGCACGACAAGGAGCTGCCCCTACAGCGAAAAGCTTATTGTGATTGTGATTGTGGGTACTGACGCTAAACGACAGCATAAGCTCCGTCAGAATTCCATCACTAACAAACGAGATTACTCGCCTTCATGTTACTACTCATGATGAAAGCGAATGGATAATAAGCGAAGCCAAGACAAAAAATCATCCGAGGAACATGTGACAACTTCAGCTTCTATAAATTCGCCTCTACGCTTTGTATAAATAAAATTATATTTTTGGATAAAAGTTTTGAGAAAAAATTAAAATTTTCCTTTAAAATATTCAGAAATGTTCGAAAAACCTCGAATTGCTCGAGGTCCTGCCATGAGCAACGAACGAGTATGCGAGCAGTCGTTGCTCAAATGTTCGTGCTGCTCGAAAATGCCCGAACAAAATCCTAAGCTCTAACAAATAACGACTTTTGACAAAGCTCAAAGGAGATAACTGCCAAGTTTGCTTGAGTTTAATGATCTCAATATAAGAGTTTTAAGTGCATTATCGTTGTGTATTATTATTAAATCGACCTTATATATACATTTAATTCCTGAACTTTTACATTTTTCACAATGAGTGCGAAAGAGTACCTTCGAGATAAAAAATCGATTTCCAGCCGGCTTAATATACTCATTGCCTCTTTTTAAATACATAACTCTGTCTTGCCAAACATTTGTAAATGAAAAAATACTAAACGCATGAAATTCTGAAATTCGCGTGCCGTCAATAATTAAGTGACACGAGAGAATCCAGTGAAACTACGGAGCAAAGTAAATAAGGGAGTGAAGCAGAGTTGCATGTATGCGCAGGCATTTGCTGCCACCAAGTGATTGCGTCGCCTGCTGCCGCTGACATGCATACCGTTACAAGTCATATTTTATATGCAGAAATTATACATATGTTTTACACAAATATTTACATTTTTATTTTCCTTATGTTAAAGTTTTTGTTCAGGCTTTGTACTATTTTTTTTTTTTACAAAAAGTTTTCGTGCATTTCCTCACGCTTTATTTCCAATTTATCAGATTAATGAAGCGAAAACATGCAGCCGGATTTTGGCGTTTTGTTGTAATGGCCTTGTCGCATGACTCTACAGGGAAGAGTTGTTTTTTACATTTAATTAAATTGAAACGAAAGTTGGGTGATGCGCACTAGTACATACTTATGTACATACTAATAAGTAGACGAAACAGCTGCTTCAATACAATAAATAATTTCTTTAAGGGATTGACCAATGCTTAAACTATCCAAAAAGACTTAAATGCATTTTCTTATACTCCATCAGAAGACCAAGTGTATAAATAATGAGTTTATGATAAATAATATTAATATTATACTATATAAGATTTCAGATAATATATTTATATTAGTATAATACATAAATTTTAATATGAGTGTTTTTTATATATGTAGATAGTAAAAGTTTATGTAGACTTGAAATTAAAATTCTGATATATTTTTACGAAAACAAAGTGCTTTGTACACAACATTTCTTGTTTTTCCGTGGAGCGCTAGAAGCATCAGACTACTGAGCTTACTCAGATCCACACCACCTACAACCTACCATCGGAGAAATAGCTTTAGCTCCAGTCTACTCCTCCCGTTATCTTCAGAGTTTGACCTTGAGCTTTGTTTATGGCAGGAGAGGGGAATCGTAGGAATAAATACAGATTGTCCTTGAAAACCCGCTGTTAGTATAATAACCTCGATTACATTTTGGTGCAATCTTATACCTTTAATCTGGTGCTATAGCTAGTTTTTGGTGGAGGCATATTTCGCAGTAACATAATTGGCGCTATAAATCTTTATTTAAATATGTGCGTTGTGCGACCGGAAATCTTTTGTGTATTCAGGAGCTCTACCGGCGAATGAATGGCATCATAGTAATTCAACTACCTTATTCTGATATTCGATCCCTTCGAAAGATTTTAAAAGTATTTCAATTATGATTGAGGGTTACTCATTTTTTGGTGCTAAAATGGCTCGATCGCATAACCATTCTGAAGATTTATAGTGAATATTATTTATGCGTAGCATGAGCTCTTCCACAGCCAGAATAATTGTTCTTATTCATTATATTTTTGGTAAGGCTCTGGTTTTTCACTGAAGGATCTAAATTAAACTCGCTTGAAGCATGCTTTAGCTGTACCCTGGGCACTAACAGTAACAATATAGTAACTCCTCCAACAGCTTCACGGAAACTACGTAGTTTGTTTCTCACCTTGGCCTGCATTATATTCCAAAGAATATTATTGTCTGTTCTCCATCATGAGCATCTAAAATCCTGCTTCGGTGATTGACAGTATTCGGTAAGAGATGTGTATTTGTTTATTTGTTAGAGAGCCTTCACTATCTAACATCACTTCTGCTAAGGAATTGATAGCGTAACATAAGGCCATAAATCAAAGGATATATAATATAAAAATGTTACCAAGAGATTAGTCCCAGAAAATTTTCTTACTCCTAACAAACCCGCCAAGGTTAAGATCCCTACGCCCAGTGGCTTGGGCTTTGGGTTGATCCGTCAGTCTTGGACAGAGGCTTTTAACCGTTTTCTTTTTTAGTTTTTTACTTAACAAACTTATATGCTTATATACTATGTATATCACATCAATCATCATTGAATATGAATTTGGAATAGTTTAGTCTTTTCTTGGATTATACTATCTTGTATGTATCAGTTTACCAATACGCATAGTAAGGCTCTTCTATTACAATATATGACCCAAGCTCGAAGGAGAAAATGTAGCACCACAAACATTTCTATGGATTGATCAGAAGACCAGCTATGTGCTCACGTTTTTAGAACCTAAGTAGTCTCTCAGTTTTCAATGAGATGCGGAAAAACGGTTTCTTCTTGTAAAATATACAATACTAATGATTTGTCGGAATCAGTGGAAGTGAATTTTCACGACTTGCTATAAACCGCGAGTCAGTTTATAACCAAAAAATATTATATATGATTTATACAGATCGACAATTCAAAACTAACCACAATCATTACAAAAATGTAGTGGAATTAACATTGCGATCTCCAAGGGACCATATACCCCATACCTGCATAACTTCGAGTTTTTCATAAAGTACAATACTCACATGAGATTGAATTTATTGAAATTAACCCAAAAGCTATCTACAGTGGGCTATATTATGGAGTACATCCAAAAAATTATATTCGGACATAATATTCAGTTTGGTCAAAGCAGGCATACATGCTTAGTATACAGATAATATTTATCATTTAATTTATATTTTATTGGAATATACACCTAATTCTGCATTTTCACGGTCTTCTTTTGCACGCTTTTGATTTAACACGGTTCGAAAAGAAACAAATTTAATATTTTATTACACGATTTTATTCCATTTATCACGATAAAAAAATCTTTTGGGCCTAAATTTTCTGTATTAAAATCTCTTCGAAAAACTTGAGTTCATATCATAAATTTAAGGGAATTTCCAATTAGTGCTTGCATTAACATATATACATTTATTTGAGACGGAAAGTAGAAAGTGTAGACATGTTTGCTAAAGAGGTTTTTATGGTAAGCCAAAAAGTATTTTATATTTATTCAGTTGCTTTTATTTTTTAATTTTGTTAAATATATTATTTATCCCAAAAAGAAAATGCTACAAAAACAAAAAAAAAAAAACGTAAAGCCGTTAGCTTGG